TTAAGTGGGAGAACTTGCACAATTGGTGGCTGACTAAATAGTTTTTTGCCCCACTGTAGCTCAGCAACAGTCCACAATCTTGAAAGATATTCCCATACTCCAAGTATTATAGCAACCTAAAATAACTAAGTAAAAATGAAAGTACATTGGCACCACTGTTATATTCCATCTAGCTCTGGACCAAAATGTTTTGATATGGCTAACCATTGGCTCAGTAGTTCAGTTATCTGAATATCATCTATACAGATTAAGAATCTGGGTTCACTCTACAGGTAATCCTTGGTCAACGACAGTAATTGGGAACGGAATTTCCATCGCTAAGCGATGTGGTCATAAAGTATAACGTCACATGACCGCATTGCTTAGTGACAGAAATCCCGGCAGTCCCCATTGCCATCATTAACTAAATCCCACTGGTCATTAGGCAAGGACCCACCCCAATCCAAGTCATTCCCAGCTTGGTTCCTCCCAGCCCCGAGCCTTCGTAAGGTAAGGGACTGCTTCCTCTTGAATTCCCCCCACCTGCCTATCTACCTCCCATCTCTGCCCTTTTGGCCACTTTGCACAACAGCACTCCTTGGCCGCCACTGCTGCAGACGAGTGCCACCACAAGCCCCATGCCAGGCCAGTCACCCCAGCACCACAGCGCAAAGCCCCAGCCACCCTGCACTCTGCCGGCCCTGTCATGCCCAGCTGACCCTCGCCATCTTCTTCCTCCCACTGCTGATGCAGTGCGTCTGGCTGGCCTGATGTTAGGCAACTTCTTTCCGAGACTATGAGCACTGTTCTCCAAATCACAGGTGCCGTTCTCTGAATTGCATGTGCTGTTCTCACAAAACCTCACAAGAAGGCTGCACCGGCCTTTCTCTAAATCGTGTGCACCATTCTCCAAATTGCGCGTACCCTTCTCATGATCGTATACACCATTCTCCAAATTGTGTGCACCCTTCTCACAGTTTGGAAAAAGGCTGGCACAACCTTCTCACAAGGTTTTGGAAGGCCTCCGAAACCTTCTGAAGCATAGCAAGAATGGTGCCTGTGATTTGAGAATGGCGTGTGCAGCCTCAGGAAGAAGGCCTGGCGCAGTCAGTAGCTGCCTTGCACAGGGCCAGGCCGGGCGTGCCCCATCAGCAGTGGGAGGAAGAAGACAGCGAAGGTCAGCTGGGCACGGCAGGACCAGTGGAGCACAGGGCGGCAGGGGTGGCTGGGGCTTTATGCTGTGGCACTGGGGTAGCTGTCCCTGGCATGGAGCTTGAGGTGGCACTTCTCGGTGATGGTGGCAGTCCTGGGGGCTGAAGTAGAGGTTTGGGGGCAGCAGCTGCCAGCTGAGACAGCTGAAGGCCCCAGGTCTCTATTTCAGCCCCAGTACCGCCAGTGACGCTGCCGCCGCCATTAAGTGCCACTGTGCAAGGCAACCAAAAGGGCAGAGATGGGGGGAAATAGGTGGGTGGGAGGAGTTGAAGCACCCCTACAGTTGTAAGTGTTGCCAAGTGCCCAAATTTTGATCACGTGACCATGGGGGCACTGACCACCACTTTGGGGACTGGGCATAAATACCATTTGTTCAGTGCCGCCATAACTTCAAGTGGTCGCTGAAGAAATGGTCATTAAGTGAGATTACCTGTACTAGAAAATGCTAGGTTTAGGTACCAAGCAGCAATCAAGAAATAGCCATTAGTGGAAGTATACTGCTTTTAGGCAAGTAAGACTCCCTCCTAACCTTAATTAATCACAAATCAATGTTTGTATATTAGACAAGATGCTTAATAAATTCTAGATCTGTGCAAGCATTTGAAATAGACCTTTACCATGTTACCCTTGAAATGTTAAAGCAACTATGTCCTTTGAAAGGGTTGCCTGGCTGCTTTAGAGGCTGTTTTAGGCTTCCTACATGTGTAAGTGCCTATGCCTCTGTGCGTGCGTGTGTGCGCGCGCACATGCGTTCACTTAGTTGAGGGTCCCAGTTCTGCATATTCCTATTATCCTTCTTCCCTCACTGTTTCTGTGAACTGATGACTTCCCTTTAAGAACAGTCTCAACCAATCACTGTAAACCTCAATGTTTTCATGTATACACAGGTACTGAAATATGTTTTTTCATTTAAGAAAATGCTTGCATTGCTGCCTGCAACCTGAGCCTTTTGCTATTCAAAGTATATGTAGAAAAGAAACATATATTGTCATTACACAATCTACACATTTATTAAACAATAAAATTACATCAGCTGCAATTTCTATCAACCAAACTGTGGATAAAGCAGGCAGAGGATGGATGAGAAAAGGTTCCTACATTATTATACTGGCTGCAAAAAATTCATATCTCATTAACAGTATAATGAAGGCTCAATCAAAGATACAACAGTCTATAAACACTGTCAAATTTATGAGCTGTACATACAAAGCTTGATTCAAAAGGTTTGTTTCTATCAAGATTTATCATCACCCAGTTAGAGAAACCTTTTCAGCATGATATGAACATAGAATACACATTTACAGCAAGCTGAAAATAATCTGCACAAGCTAAAGGATTTTGACAAGTCGCAATGAGGAATAAAAAAATAATGCATGCCTCAGTAAGTGTAAAGAAAGTTGTGATGTGATCATGGGCATTGTTGGGAAAAAATATGATAGCTGAAGATAAAGCAAAATCTGAACATGTTTAAATAAACAACAACCTGAAGTACGCAACAAAGTAACTTTTCTTACCAAGTCCCTTAGATTGGGAATAGGTAAACTACAAACACTCCAGATATTTTGAACAATAACCCCCGTCACCCTCAATCACTGGCTATGACAGCTGAGACTAATAGGAGCTATAGCTGGAACTTCTTGAAGGAACTGGGGAAGAGTACTCCTGCTTTAGTCTGTTATGGTGCTCTCCATACATACTGAACTACAGTCTCCAGAATTCCCAGCTAGTATGACTTTGAGAATTGTCCAAAATACCAAGAGGCCACCAGATGAAGGAAGTTGCTCTATAGTGTACAAACTGCAGGACAAAATTGTCTATAGGTTTATACTATTCTTAAACATTTGTAATCGATTGTATGCAGCCTACGTGAGTCTCAGATCTGGGGCTTTTGAAGATCAAAAGGTACATTTAATAAGGGGGAGTGTGTGGAGCAGAGATACGAGTGAAAAAAGTGATGATAAAACCCTGTCATAGAGAGGCACAGAAGAAGAAAATTAATGGCTGCAGAAAACAACACCATTTACTGATTCTGAAAGTAGAATCAAGAAGCAGGCACGGCTATTACACTGCATACTTCATTAAACAAGACAGACTTTCAGCATCCACAGTCAGCTAATCTATCAATATACCTGGTTCAAATTAGGTATCTAAAAAAGAGGAGGGCAATTTTTGGTCCCAGCACCACATATTGTCCTCAGCCCTGTTTCTGTGTGCATGTGCAGCCTTTGGAACCCTGACTACTCTTGCTAAAACTGTAAATATAATTTCTCAAATTCTGTGACAGGAGGAAACACATAAAAACTGAGTGTAAGCCCTAGAATAAGCATAACATACTTTGAAAATAATTTCCTCTAAACTGAGGAAAAGCCTGTGTATGACTCAAGTTCATCTACTTTGCATCATTGGCTTGTCTGCTGCCGCCCTTCATTCTCTAGAAAACATTATGTTTTGATGCCTCTGATCCAAGAAGATCAGAAGATCCTTTTGGCTCAGCCCGCAAACCTATATAGCCCTGCATCCCATTCTTGTTCACTGGACAACTAGATACTTTAATGAGGCCCAAATCAGATTTCTGTTTCTTTGTGGGGGGTGCAGGGATACCTCCATGTAAAACTGGGAAGCTACAATTAATTATAGGCAATCCCTAGCAGGTCATGATAAAAGTACTAGACAATAAAATGCTAAATATTCTGAGTATCAACCAAGCTCAAGGCTGTATGAGAACCTACAAATATCCCAGAAGTATTCATGAGCTTTCAGAGTACAAGTGGATGTATACTGAAGGAACAGTAAAACACACAAAATATTAAGTATAAGGCACTGGTGATATTACCTAGTTGGGTAATAAAACATCTGCAAGCAAACTACCAAGCTTAGAGAACATCCAAAACTCCACAGTTCAACCCTGAGTGACATATATTCTCTTCTGTTGGAGCTCATTCTTTCCTCACTAGGGTTTTAATCCTTTTCAGGGGATGAACAAAACCACTTTTTATTCATTATATGAATATCATGTATGTACTATGTAAGCCATCAAATCTATTTTGAAAAGAATTAACACCAGCAATTAATAAAAACATGCCAAATATAAGAAAATCTATGGAACTAATTAAGAAACTATCGCACTTCTAGATTATACAAAATGCTAACATCAGCGCCCCTGAAAAATCCACAATGTTCCCAACCTTTCTGAGTATCCTAATTCAGTTCAAATGAATAATTTACCATTAAGTTTATACTTACTGTGGTCTCGATCTTTAGTCAATATACACTCTTTTATAGATTCTGTTATTCCAAGACTGGCTGCAGTAGGGAGAGGTCCAAGAAGTGATTCCAGAGCAGGTGGCCTTACAGAAGTTTCTTTTTCTTTTGATCTGTCTTTATCAAGAAATTCATTATAAAAGTCCAGGTTCAAATGATCTGCAGCTGCTGCCAGTTCTTCATCTTCTCCCTCCTCATCTCCAAATATACTTGAAATAGTATCTTCTATGCAATCTTTAATGACAGAGGATCAAATATTATCAGATATGATAAAATTAAAGTGCTCAATATGCTGTTTTGGGTTTCTTAAGGCTCCCAAAGACCTCCCAAGACCATTTTTTCCTACCATTCAACAGTTTATTACCTGTCCTTGTCAAATGATCAAAGTCATAGCTTCAGAAAGCCAAAAGGTCTGGCTCATTTCTTCTGCACATTAATGTATCTCTGTGCAGCACATCAGCAAACATATATGAGACTTCCCCAATATGGTCCCCCCCAAATTAGTAAAATTGTGTCCACCTGTGTTTTAATATTATTTCATATTCCAGTTATAAACTGATATTTTCTCTTTAAAATGCCTGAAATCCATTTCTATGAAACTCCACCAAATATAGTAACATATTCGTAATATTTAACAGATTATATAATACAACATACAATGTCAGCAGGGACTTTGTCCTGGAGGAGAGCAATCCATGTGAGGGAATCCCAGAAATGATGCCCTTGCTGCAGACAGTTCATTATCTAATGTAGCTTGGGCTGTTACACTTATTCCCCTCTCTAGAAGTGGTTTCAAATTAGACCGATTTTCCAATTATAATTATAATTGGAAAAACCACCTAGAATAACAACTGTGGAATACTGAAATCTCCTGAGTGCTCAATACCATGGCTTCTAAGCAAAATCACTGAGATCACTGAGCCAGGCTTGACATCACTTCAGCAATACTGTATCCTAAGATATCCAGCATACTATCTAATAATGTAGCTAACATGGATATATTTAACATCAATTATTAGTTCTTTCATAAAAGTAACAATTACCTTTTCCTTGGGGGGGACCTCTATTTTTGAACAAACTGCCACTGGAGTTTGGGTTGGCTTCTTCTTCTTAAGTTTAGGGTCTCAAAATGTACCTTTTCACCCAGGATGTTGCTATTACATTCTGCAGAAATATATCCACCTACCCCAATAGGCCTCTGGATGCTACTAACCACTTAGTCATCATATAATATTAAAAGGGCAGGAGATTTTTTTATGGCTGGCAGTCAAAACATTTTTTTTTCAATTTAGCTTCCAAGATCCACAAGAGACATTATAGCAACAGCACTGGAAGAACAGGGGGATGGAGTGGTGGTACATTTAAGCTTATCCTTGCAATAGGAGAGAGTCATTTGTAGAGCTGACACTTTCATCAAAACAGTAATTAGTGCCAGGAGATGCAATACCATTTCTCCTTTGAAGATGCAAACAGAGTTCCAGAGTTGACTGAACCCATGATAACTGGTGCAGAGCCTGCTTTATGAACATGACTGATGTTATTAGGAATTAATTCTTCTGCATCTTACAGGTGAATTATTGCACTTCAGTAATGAAGTACAACTCCAAGAAGTGAAATTTAAACCATTTTGTAGGAGCCATCACAGGAATAAGATTCAGCAACCTTAACTGTTAACTTAACCTTAACTTAACTGTGCATAGTTTTAACCCTTACTGGCAGCCTCCCTCACCCTGATTACTGTTATTGCAAAAGGCATAGAAAGGAAGTGCAGCAGTCCCACCACAAAGCCCAGATCGAGTGTGAAGACCCACTGAACTACAAGTATGAACAACTTTGGAAAATAGGGAAAAAGCAGTCTAACAATATTATTGTTAGCTCATATTTTATGCAGCTCAACATAAATTTGAGAAATCCTGAAGGGTTTAGTATGGCTCTGTGCAAAAACTTTCTTATTATTAATTAATACTATTATTTATTAAGTGCAGTCTTAATAAACAAAGTATATATTTAGTTGTTACAACATATGAAAATATTAAAACAACACTAAAACAGCATTTAAAGGCAACTATTAGTAACTTCAAAAGCCTAAATAACAGAGATTGGCATTAAATCTTTCTTGACATTCAAAGACACATGGAAATTGCTGGCACTGCCCTGGTTATTTTTATAGCATTGCATGTTATAAGCCATAACAGGGATGAGAAAGTACATAATGGCAGAATAAAGCCTAAAATACAATAAACCTGAAACCAGCAGCAGAGCTGAGGGAGGCAAGCTCAAGGAACAGACAGGTAGGCAACTACTGGGACAGCAGCTGAGTTAAGTTAGAGCTGGATTAGGGTTAGGGTCAAATCAAATCAAATTAATCAAAAAACACACAGCTGTTCCCCCCAAATGTTCTGTTAAATTGATGTACTTTTGTAATAAATAAAATCATATCCTGTTCTCTTAAATGTTATAATTTCATTACAAAAGTGTTAACGCACTTCAACTCAAGTGATTTCTCCAAGCAGTAGCTTGAGGACCTAGCATTCAGCCATTTATAACTTGCTACGTGCCTCCACCATTTTCAGCTTTCCAAAATCCACTTTTTGAATTGGACAATAACAATCTCCTGATCCAAAGTATTTTCACCCATAAGATTCCTGAATAATACCATGATTTGACGGACTGAACTATAAAAAATCTTGGCATTTGATTTTTATCCATTTATTTTATTTATTTTTAAACCATGAAAACAAACATCATGTTACAATCACACTTTTTTACATGTTTGTTAATTTCCAAAGCTGAGAGTCTGCCAAAAGGCTCAGGACAAAAATGAAGCTATTTATATATCATACTTGCATAATTCCATAGCTGCGTAGCTGCACTACCCTGCCCTGACCAATTCACATACCACTGCCTTCTCTGTCCCTTTCTCTAGCAGCTGTTTGAATTCCATTTTAAAGATACTTGGAAAAGAAATCAGAGTTCACAGGTTGGGTAGCCAGTACTAGCATAGATCACATTCAGTCTCCCTCTCCCATTAAACTTGCCCCTCCAATAGCTGGTGATGATGCAAATTATAGTCCAATAAACCTGAGGGTTCTAGGTTGTAGGTGGCTATATTAAAGGATTCATCCTTTTCTTATATTATCCCACTCATACTTTTTTTAAAAGTCAGCCTTGTTGAATGTACACCTCTAATACCAAACTGCCATAAAATCATTTTCCTAGTTTAGCATATTACTGATTAACGGATTTCAGATCGACTTACCATCCTTACTATAATTTGCATAAACTCCTTTTGCTTTTGGCCGGCTATTTTCTAATTCAATCTCTATTTCATCTTGATAGCTTGTTATTTCACCTGCCAGAAACAGAAAGAAGAGTCACTAGTGGGCAAAAGAAATATGACATAATTGAAATGAAGGGGAAGAAAATAAACTTTAGTTATAGTCAAAGACCATCTGTCAGCTACATATAAAAAAGGACAATAAAAAAAAGGAAAGAACAGAAAAATGAAACTCTCAATTAAATCAGTTTAAATAATCTTTAACCTATTTAACAAATATCTCTGTCTATCTATCTGTAATTTAAAAACCCAAATACTATAAATAAGAACTTAGGAATCCTTCTAATTTCTGGAGACAGATCTGCTAATAACAGAATAATGTTCTCCCCAATAAAATACCTACCAGGGCAAGTATTATTAAGTCTGTGCACCAGGCCATGTAGAATGGGCAGCACAGTAATACATGTGTAATTGTCTCAATTTCCCCCACCAGGCAAAGGCATAAATGCTCTTGCACTGGGATGTTATTAGCTTTCCCTTCCATTAACATGGATGGCAGAACAGTTAATCTGGCCAAAGAAAGGGCTCTCTAGTGAGGCAAATACATGACATTAACTAGATAATTAGCTGGAATGAACAATCTTCCAGATAAACTATCACCATAATAGATGACAACTGTATTCAGATTTTCTTATTAATGTTAAACACAAGTTGCTTTACCTGCATTCAGGTGAGGTCAGACTAAGAGTTTATAATATCTTTGATTACCTTTCTTCTAGGACAATAGAAAACTATCAAAAAGATCAAAACAGCAAGGGATATGACAGAGTTCCACTGATTAGATGGGTAGCCATGTAAATTTGATAAATAAAAAAAATATCGATAGAATGTATGCTCTACCTTCTAACTCTTCAAGCTTTTTTGACAATTCCTTCTCAAGCTGGACAGGGAGAAGAGAAAAGAGATGTTAGACATTTTTGTCCTAAATACATTAGACAGTATTTTTATCTACTGATGTTGCTAGGCCTGGGCCGATGGAGCTTCAGCCTCGAGAGTATTTCCCATAGCCCCATATCTATTCCCTAGAGCCTTGGGAGGCCACTGCTGGCAATTATTTTTTCCCTTAAGTTTAATTGCCAGGCAGTGGTAATTTTCAGGAGCAAGACTAGAGTTGAGAAGAGTTTTCCATTCGCCTTCGCTTGCTACAAATGTCCAATAGAAATGCTTTACAGATGTGGCAATTATCTTATGGTAAATACCTTCTGTATTCCTTTGCTGGTCATTTTGGAAAAATCCTTTAGAATGAGTTCCAGTACCTCCATGATGGCATTATTCAGTGTCAAAAAGTGCCAAGCATTCAACAATTTTCAGCAGGATAAAGTTCAACTAAGGTCTGATAGGGATTTAAAAAAACCTTCTATATGTCACAAATAGAGACTAGATTTTGAACATCTGTATCCAAAGGTCTCTACAAAATATTCTGGGGGGAAATTCAACCCAGCCCAAGATTTATTTTTTTACAGCTGTAATAATTTGTATGCAAAATTACTAATTGTTCACAAATATCTATCTCAGAAAACTGACTCAGTGACAGTCTGCATGTCTTGGCAAGCAACATTTTGGAGCAACTCCAATGCAATTTAATCATAATTAATAGCAATGCTTATTTTAAACTGGACCAGTTAAAACACAGAATTTTAATGAAAGCAGAACTTGGAAGAGAGGGGGAGTTGGAACTAATTATCAAGCAAATACCTTTCCAGCTGTGGCCTTTGCTAATTGGGGTAGAAGAATGAATGTGGCATATATAAGAGAAGAAATCTACATGCAATATAATAAGCTTAGATGGATCATAGGAAAGTCAGAATAAATTTGCCACTACACAATGAGGTGAGGTATGCACTGATTAGGAGAACTTGTGCAGAGCAGGTAAACTCCAGTAAATCCACAGTAAGTGATTGTGACAGCTCTGCAGACAGAGTGAACACTTTTGCCCAATACAGACTGATAATATCACACTTCCGTTGTTGGATGACCTCACCCAGTGGCTTCACATAGATGTTAAAAAGCAAGAGATAGAGGACTGACCCCGGTGGAACTCCAAAAGCAGGGGCCAATGGGCTGACCTCTCATTCTCTTCTACCACTGACTGAACCTGTCTACTGTAGAAAGAGAGGAACCAATGCAAGACAGTGCCTCCAATCCCCAATCCCACAAGGTGATCAAATACAGTACTATGGTGAATTGTATATAAAAAAACTGCTAGAGTAAGTACCAGGTCCAGAGTCACCAATTAGAGCAACCATTGCTGTCTCCATCCCATTGCCAGTCCTGAATCCTGATTGAAAAGGTTTTAGGTAAACTGCTTCATCTAAGGTGCTCCATAGTTGATCCACTACCATCATCTCAACAAACTTCCCTAAAAAGGGAAAGTTGAAGACCTGGTGATAGTTATCTAAAAACCCTGAGTCCAGGGATGATTTCTCCAGGAGGTAAAACACCACCCTCTCTGTAACAGCCACTGGCAAACCCTCTCCTGTAAAAAGGCAGGTAGTTACATTATCCCTGCCCAACCCAAGGACCCAGAACAGGCACAGTGCAAGTCCATAAATGGCAGAGGATAACCTAGAGTGCACCTATCAACTTCTTTGGAGATTCACATGCTAGAAAGAGTATCAGGTAGTATACCAAGATGATGCCCCAGTCACAATCAAAGACCCGGCCCATGAGGAGTCAAGATTCTGATGAATCAAAGCAACTTTATAAGAAAATTATTATGCCAATCGTGTCCAGGTGGGAGATCTTGTCACTGACTTTTCCTTAATATGGAATTAGTTGCCCTAAACAAGGATCCAGTTCCCAAGGCATAGAGGTTGAAGTCCCACAACATCAAAAGGCAAGGCAACTCCACCATCACCCTAGAGACCACTTCCCAAGCAACAGGAAGGGATACCAACAGAATCCCCAATTTGTCTCTACAGCCCAGTTTCACCCATAGGCATTTACACTCTGGTATCTCAGGAACACTGTCCTTGATTACAGAAACAGTGTTCCTGACAATCAGTGCTATGCCTCCCTCCCCAGCCATGGTATCAAGGCTTCTGAAAGATCTGAAATCTAATGGGCAAATTTCAGAGAATGCAGCATCACCACTTTCATACAACCAGGTTTCAGTAATACATGGCAGATTTGTCCATTTGTCCAACACTAGGTTGTGAATGAACAAATTTTTATTACAGGCATGTGTAAATAAATATATTGTAGTAGAATTACATCCCCATACCTTTTTCAGCATCTCCTGCCATCCCTCCTCCAAAGAAACAAGCATTATAGTCAAAAAGGCCAAGGGCATATAAATGAATGTGAGTGAGAAATGCCTTTCCTTTATATTCTGTACATTAGAGATGAGAAATCCAAAAGGGATCAGATCAGATATTGGCAGTGATACTGCAAAAGTAGATTCTGATAAAAAGGCTTGTTGCCATTGTATAAACAACATCCAGGTGTAGGCCAGCCCATCTTCTCTGAAGAGACAAGCTTCCTCCACTATGTGGCACAGACACAGGAGAAAAAAAACAACCAGCTAACTGCTTTGAATGTTGTGTATGTGTGTGAATATGTGTATATACATATATATATATACATATATATACACATATACATATATAAATAAAATTCACATTTGAAGCAAAAGTATTGGTTGAAATTCTTGTGCTATTATTTACTAATCAGAGCTCAGAGAGACATGATACTTAATTGTTAATTTCCAGTCCTGATTGCTGCTAGAAAGATCTGACAGGTGTTTTGGAAAAGTTGCAAGTGCTTTAAGAGAAATTTCAGCAAAAAAATTTCAAGAGATTATATATTTTTATGATCAAGATAGGTAGGAATGAATCTAAGCAGATCCTGATACTTTTTGCTTTTCAGAATGATTTTCATGAATTAGATGCAGTGTGGGAACTGCAGCCATTATTACATGGTTTTACTGGTGTTACATATGCTTACATGGGGTTTTTTTTGTTACTTTGGGTTTTGGATGTGAAAGAAGTACAAGATAATATTACAAAGATAGCATGGCAGAGCTTTATATCTCCTATTACAAAAGGAATTAAAAACTAGGAAAATAAACAACTGAAAGATTCACCTGCTGAATCTTTATCTTTCGTTGACCAGCTATAAATGAGGGAGGATCACATTCTTCTTCCAGATCAATGGTCATGAACTCATCTATTGTTAGCTGACTTGCAGGTGTATCTTCAAATTCTGTAAGTCTAAAAGCATATGTTAAAAGATTAATGGATAACTGTCACAATATACAAGCCAAAATTTACGTACAAGATGTTTTCATAATAAAACTATATATAGATATAAGACAATTTGATTTCTGTATTCCATTCCTGCAAAGCTGATGACCAGTATGCAAGACAGGAAAGCAAATTTTCTTCCATATGAAGTGCATATCAAAATGGAGGAACAAATTGCACATTTTTCAAAATGTAAACATTTTGTCATTAAGTCAGTTTTGCTTAAGAATCATTAAATCCTCATTTTGCAAGCAAGTTTAACCTATGTTAAGCTGTCTAAGCCTGAAATGACAGTCAGCCTCCAGACTTTAAAGTAGAAATCTTTTCCCAGTCTGAAGGAGTCTGGTGGTACCTTTTTCAACTAACACATTTTATTTAAAGGCATAAGCCCTTGTGAGCCACAGCTCACCTCATCAGTTCTATACAACGGCTAGATCAATGCAGGATTTAAATTAGGGTGAGGTGCAGAAGGAAAGGACAGGTTGCTTACGCAGATGCAGATTACACGTGAGACAGATTACAAGTATCCTATCAACTAACAACTGTAGTATGTTAAAAATTCATTGTGTTAGTTAACACTTTTTGAGATTGCCTGAAACTGATATATATGAATCTAGCAATCTCTTACTTAATGATGCTGTTAAAGTCTCATTTTTCCAAAACAGTCACTTTGAGGTCTGCCATAGAGTGTCCTCGGAGGCTGAAATGTTTGCTCCTTCTAGGAGAATTTAACCATTAGCTTATCAATCTGCTTAAAATATTTAAGTTGAGCCAACATAAGCATTACTCTAAAATATGTATCAATCTTGATGCAAAAATTCATTTTCACAATACAGTGGTACCTCAGGTTACGAACTCGCCTTGACTTACGAACCGGATCCGCGGCCATTTT